CCCTTCCAACTCGTTCTGTGTAACAAGCCTTTTTCTTGCTTGTTTGCCGAGGCAGCACCCGCTCCCCCGCCGCCCCCCCCCCCGCCTCCATCTGTACCGCGTGCGAGGTGTTAGAGATTTGGCTGCGGCACCAGCAGCCTGCCGGATTCATTACTAAGCAGCCTGATTTCGGTCGCCCGGAACCGCCCGGGCGCATCATCTGCCGTGAGCTTGGCCTCCTGCTCTGCCCCTGCCCGTGGGGACCCGTCAGTCACGGCGTTTGGGCAGCCGTGACGTCAGGGAGTGGCTTCGCTACCTCAAACCTGGCCCGGCCCCGACAGGTGGAAATGCTCAGAAGGGACTGGCTGGGGAAGGAAATTCGATCAGGCTCGGAGAGATCTGAGAGGTGGTGGGCAGCGGGTATTGACGGGCCGGATTGGGACCCTGAGCACGCGCCCTTTGAAAGGCTTAATCCTGGCAGAAGCTCAGACGCTCCCCTGAGAAGCCTCCAGAAGGCAGAAGGCAGGGGGGAGCCCGTTTCTGCGGGAGGAGGGAGTCGGGGGCCGGGGAGACGGGGGGCCGGGGGCGGGGGGCGGGATGGTGGGGACCTGGGCCCCACCACCTAGAGCGCTGGCCATTACTGCACCTCTCTGAGCCTCAGTTTCCTTCTGTATAAGTGGGGGTCACAGCAGCACCTCCCCCATGGACCGTGGCGGTCCACGGAGAAGACGCTCGGGGCCTGGCACACGGTCGGGGCTCGGTGCATGCCCGCTGCAGGAGAATGGCCGCATGGAGACCCAGGCCTGGCCGTCGGGCCTCCCTCTGCCCCTCTTCCGCAGCCCCTGCCCCAGGAATGCCCTGCTCTTCCTTCCAGACTTGCCCCCTACGCATGTCCTTCCTGGGCCATCCAGCAGCCCACCCGCACGCCTCCCTCATCCATTCAGATGTTCCACTGAGCACCTCCCTGACGGCTGCGGGACACAGGGGACCCCCCTCCCACGCGGGAAGCAGGACTGGTCTTTTAAATATGAAATGTATCGTCAAATTGGTTTCCATACAACACCCGGTGCTCATCCCAACAGGTGCCCTCCTCCATGCCCCTCACCCACCCTCCCCTGAAGCAGGACTGATCGAAGAGGTGGGGGGCAGGGCGCCCAAGATGAGCTGGTGTCGAGCGTCCGCCACAGCAGGTGCCGGGGTTGAGTCCTCACTGAGCACACGCTTGTTTACCGAATCCTGTCCCCCGACCCCCTCGTCCCTACAGCGGACAGAAGCCAGGCAGCCGTGAGCATGGAGTGGGCAGTCTGACCCACACCTCACACCCCAGCCCAAGGCCAGGCTGGACACCCAGGGGCCAAAGTCCTACCCACCCACGTCACTCTTATTTGCCGCTGGCCAGAACTGTCTCCCTCCAGAGAGCCGACCTCCAAACCCTGTTCTCAGCCCCTCTTTCCAGGTGCCAGTAACAGGCCGGAGCGCTGCTGGGCTCGGCCCGGCTGCACCATCGGTGGGTGAGCACGGGCCGCCCTGCCCCCGGGGAAACCACACTGCCATCAAACAAGAGTGGCAGACGTCCCCGACGGACGGTTTAGGTCTGCACCAGCTTAGAAGCCACAGCAATTGTGTGCCAGCGAGAACGCTTTAACCGCAGGCGTAATGAATCATGATCCTCGAAGGGCCCAGACACATCCGCGAGGAGGGTCTGCGGTTAAGACTTCATGACCACGATTGGGGCGCCTGGGTGGCTCGGTCGGTTGAGCGGCCGACTTTGGCTCAGGTCATGATCTCGCGGTCCGTGAGTTCGAGCCCCGCGTCGGGCTCCGTGCGGACAGCTCAGAGCCCAGAGCCTGTTTCGGATTCTGTGTCTCCCTCTTTCTCTGACCCTCCCCTGTTCATGCTCTGTCTCTCCCTGTCTCAAAAATAAATAAATTTTAAAAAAAAAAATTTCCAAAAAAAAAAAAAAAAGACTTCATGGCCACGACCCCGGGAGGCGCGGTTTACGTGACGAGGCGCACACCCACAGGCGTTTGTATCAGAAACCAAACCTTCCTGGAATGATACTTGCCCTTAGTAAGACGGATGGGCGCTAATATTTTCTATCCTGTCCTAATGTATTACACTCTGTTTGATTTAAAAAGTAGTATCGATCACAAACCGTTCAATTGATCTCGCCACCGGCCGAGAGATCACGGCCCGCAGTCTGAGAAGCACGGCTCTGGACGTTGCTGGCCTCTGCCACGGGCTGTCCTTACTCCTTGGCTCAAAACACTGAGCGACGGCACCGGCCAGGATCTCAGACTCGGCCCCCCGGCCTCGCCTTCAAGCCAATTACAGCGCCACGGGGGCCGGCGAGTTCCAGGCGTGCGCCAGGCCAGACCGCTGGCTCTCCAGACTTCCCAGGAGTAGGCTTTCTCGGACTCGGGGTCCCAGGCTGAGCCGCAAGCTGGACTTCAGGGACGCTGGGTGGACGGCTGTCACCAGGCAGGAGGCCTTCGATTACAGAGCAAGGATCAGCCAGATGGGAAGACGCGAAGAGGGAGCGCGTAAAAGATGGACGTATCCGCTTCCTGCCTGTCTGTCCCGCCAGTAGGACGTGAATTGCCACCCGCTCCCCCGCCAAAGGGGAAAAAGGTAGGGAAACAGAGTAACTTCAAGGCTAAAATCTTCGGTGGCCCGGCTCCCGGGCGCGTCTCCCTTGAGTTGCAGCCGCAAAGTGACCGATGCTGGACGCTCGCCGTCGCTCGGCCCCTCCAGCAGGTGACACGGAGGCAGACAGAGCGTGTTTTCTCGATGCGGATTCTCAGAAGCCAGTGCCTGCCGCCCGGCGTGTCCTCCAAGTGCCGCTTGGGGGGCTTTGCCAAGGGAGGGCTGGGCCCACACGGTCCCGCAGATGGTACCGGGTGGTTCCAAAGGAAGGAGCCGCTGCCCTTGGGGCGGTGGAGGCCGAGCGGAGTGGCCGACCGTCCCGCGTTTGTCTCCGCCGGGAGACAGATGGGCTCCTTTGTCCTGGGCGCCCAAGCCTGGCTCCGTGGTCCCCCCAGCACCGGCCCTGCCCTCACGGACGGCCACAGCCGTCCCCACCTCAGCCGGGGAGGGGAGGCTTTGCGCTCCCATATGGCAGGGGAGAAGGTGAAGGTGGTGAGCTGTGCAGAGTGGGGGGTCCTCAAAGCGGAGGGGGTGCCCCAGGCCCGGGAGCCCACCTGGCGTGGCTAAGCTGGGCCAGCCCCAGGAAGCGCCCTGGGCTGGCATCCAGGAGACCAAGTTCCACCGGGGCTCCAGCCGTGTGCCCACCTAAGTCTTGGCGTCTCTGTGCTGCGGAATGAAAGCCTCGCCGTCCCGGGCCCCGCGTGCTGTGGCTGGGCTCACGGGCAGGCCGGCTGGGGCGATCAGGCTGGGGTGGGTTCCAGGAGGGCTTCCCGGAGTAGGAGATGCTCAGCCGAACCGCACACTGAGCAGGGTCTTGGCAGGTGGTCAGAGAGACCCAAGGATGGGAGCTGGGTGGGTCCAAACCCTATGAGATGGGGCGGGGCTGTCTCTGCCACTTTAGAAGGGTCCCCAGGAGGCAGCACCTGGGATTTTCCCTAGACTCTGACGAAGCTGCCGCAGAAATCATTTTATAGGGGCGCCCGGGTGGCTCAGTCGGGTTAAGCATCGACTTCAGCTCGGGTCATGATCCCACGGTTCACGAGTTCGAGCCCCGCATCAGGCTCGCTGCTGTCAGCACAGAGCCCGCTTCAGATCCCCTGTCCCCCTCTCTCTCTGCCCCTCCCTCTCTCTCAAAAGGAAAATAAACGTTAAAAATTTTTTTAAAAAGAAAAAACCAATCAGTGACAGGCAGGAGGATCTTGTGGGTTGGCGGCTTCGGGGTCCTCCAGCCTCCCTGACCTGCTGAGCAGGTGATTCGGGGAGGGGCTGTGGCAGAGGTGGATTCTTGTTTCTAAGAACAAAGACCTCGGACGCGCAACGCAGCCCTTCAGAGGGGGCCGCGGGGGTCGGGGGGGGGGGCACCTCTGGGCAGTGCCCCCAGCATGCTCCCTGGGCTTGCTGGCAAGGG